AGGCTCGGCTCCCGCTCGGTGACAGCGTGCGCTTCGGGAGCCGCCTCGTCTCCTAGGTCTGGCTTCAACTGAGCAGGAAGAAATTGCGTCCACGTTTGATCATGAAAGCAAAAAGTTTATTCATGTTTGAAACTACATATAACTACCACGAGGAAGACTTCAATCCAGGGTGTAATCCAGTTAGAAAGTAACACGAAACGGTTTAATACATTAGAATCACTGCCACAAATTATTTTCATGACTCAGTTTCAGAATCGCATACAATACAAAAGAGAGAAAGAAAGGGCCCCCTGTTACACAGGGGGCAATATACAGTACTGAATACTGAAGTCTGTATGCATGACAATTAGTTGTTGGGTTTTGCGTGGATTAGTAACAAGATGAAGAACATTCAAAATGTTTCTCAGTATTTACAACAGTCTCACTGTTTTGTGTTAAACCTAAGACCCCATGTTTCCACTTGAGCTTCTTTAAAAGTTGCCAATGCAACCCTGATTCTTTTAAAAGATTACAATGTACATTACATTTCATGGGGAAACAAAGAGTTAATTACAAGATGCAAAAAGATAAGAAAGAGACAAACTACAGCGTGAGTATCGTTCAGAGGTAGTAAGTGAGCACTCTAAGCTACAGAACATGTTGAAAGTCTATTGGTTTGTATGAGTTCGCATGAGGTAATAAAGCTGTGTTTGATTGGTGAGATGTATAAATACTCTTTTGCTACACTATGTACAACACTCCGGGTGAGGGGGCTTCTTTCCTTGGTTGCTGTGTTTGTGGTTGGCTGCCAAGGAGAGGTAACAGCTCTCGGCAGGCGTGTGCAGCACCTAGCGCGTACTGTAAAACCCCGGCTCCTGGCTTTCAGAGATCAGCAGCGAGCGTCTTCAGCTCCGAGGAGCAACCTACGGCCGGTGGCGAAAGACAGAGGGGAGACGCGGGGTCCGGGCAGTTTTAGCAAGAAAAGATGCTCCTGGTTTTCCAATCTAGTTTGTAAGACAATAGATCACAACAGAAATGTGACGAATAAGGATTCTTCAACACAACCACTGTTAACCGAAATAACCGAACAGCTCTTTTTATTCCAACTCTATAAGAGATATGAAAAGATGAAACACAATCAAAGTCTGCAATTCATTTTGACTTTCCATGGAAATACGCACAAAGCTAAATTTAGGGGAGGTGTTTCTTTGTGTCTGCTCTTGCGATTGAGGTTAAGCTTGTCCTGTACTTTTACCCTTAAGGCCAAGTAATTGGCAACTGTTAGATCAACATCGTTAAAACTGCTGATAATAAATTATGATAAAATAGTTACAGGGCTATAAACAATGCTAAATCTTGGCCTAATTGGATAAAGTGCTTTTTAACATCGTGTGTTTTAAGTATAAATACAAATGATTATGATACCTTTAAAAAACAGATTTACCAAGTTTTCTAATAAGACAAGGTTTTACAGTAAAGCTGTAGGTGGTTGGCTACAAAAAACTCTTTCCTTTTTCTCCTGTGACTCTGAATGCGCTAATCAAGGCATCTCAGCTCAGGGAAAAAGTGTTGCTAGGAGATTAGTTAGAGGTATCAGAGTGCACACTTCCCGGCCCTTCTGTCGGGGAAGTCACAGAAGATGGAGTAGTTGCGTCCTGCCAGCCTCCATTAGCCTGAAAAGGGAAAAACAATTCAATTGATACGATTACGCATATTAATTATACCGCACACTGAAAGCATCAGACTGGCAAGCCCGGGGTTTGGGAGGAGATGCTCTGCGAAGGAGATTTTCCTGCTCTCCCTCCGGCTGCAGAATTTGTGGCGGGAGGCGGCAGCCGGCGCTCGGCGAGCGATGCCGAGAGCGCGCTCTGCGGCAGCGCCAAGCCCTCGGCGGAACGGCAAGCTGAGCACCCAGAAGCCGTTTGGCCAGACGTTAGCTGCAATCAGGACTTTGGGATTTCCGCAAAGACCGTCCGTGCCTGAATGAGGAACATCCCTTCAGCCGACACTTCAGCTTTCTGCCCCCGGAGGAGCAGGGTCTGGGGCCATGGTGTTTAACCCCCTCGCTTCCCCGGGCTCGGCGCTGCCTCTCGGCCCGGCAGAGCCCTCCGCAGAGCTGCTCCACCCCCCCTCCCAGGGCTGCGAGGCGGGAAAGGGGCCCTC